GAAGAGGCAAATGTCCCAAAGCTGTGGTGAGTCCACCTGGTTAAACCCTGCCCGTTGGGGAAGGTGGGGGAGGGGGGGCGGCTTCTGCCGCCTGGGGGCGAAACCCAGGTAAATCCTCTTCTGACACCAGATATCGAGGTAAATAAGGATCAGGATAAACAAATAGGCCGAATAGATGTTTATTCAGGGAGAAATAACTTACAACCTAGACAGATAACACCAGGAAATTCAACCCGATCCTCTCCTGTCCGAATCACACCAGAAAGAGAGCACCTTTCCTGGCCCCCTCCGACCTCCTTCCCCAGGTCACTTCCGCCCATGGCTCCACCCCCAATGGGCGTGGTCAGTGCCACAGAAGGACTATCTCACTACATAGTGGTACCTCTTTAAACAAAATTATTCTTTGGAAAAAATCCCTGGCACCATGGAACCATGTAGTGTGATGACTTGGCACATAAGAATCCCATTGTGCCATCCTAATTTCACCAAGAACAGGGACATTATGGATTTACTAATGAAATGCCTACAGTTCAGATACAAAGCCTGAGGCCATTAAGGGTAAGAATTGAGTTAGTAAGTGTAGAGAAATCTGAATGATCCATTATAATGGAAAAGAGTGAGACATCAGGACCTTCTCTTTTGGGAGTGTATGAAGGAAATAGGCCCATATAGTAAAACTAAGACACAAAGGAGTGCAATTAGCTAACAGCTTAAGGCTCATAACACTGCATGGTGCAAATGCTGCATCATGTCCTGTGAGGAATGAAAATGCTCTTAAATTGTAGCAGAGTGTCTGGTCCCCAGAAGCAGTTTTTTTTCCCCCAAAAGCCAGGGGTTTGGATAAGGGCCTCCATTCCAACAGGGGCTTGAGGAAAGAAAGTTCCTGCTTGCTAAAAGCAATCTTTCTCCTTACCTCTGGCTGGAGGAACTTGTGTCCTTCCAATGATGTAGGAGGGCTCCTGGTGGAGTTACTGAACCTTTGAGAACAGTAGGCTTTCAGGTACTTGCTGAACTTATTGTAGTGAGATAGTCCTTCTGTGGCACTGACCACGCCCATTGGGGGGTGGAGCCATGGGCAGAAGTGACCTGGGGAAGGAGGTCGGAAGGGGCCAGGAAAGGCGCTCTCTTTCTGGCGTGACTCGGACAGGAGAGGATCGGGTTGAATTTCCTGGTGTTATCTGTCTAGGTTGTAAGTTATTTCTCCCTGAATAAACATCTATTCGGCCTATTTGTTTATCCTGATCCTTATTTACCGCGATAACTTATAGCTTTTGTCTCTAATGAAGTTAATGCCTGCTTTCGTCTCTGAATTATTGAGTGTGCTTTCAATCTTGCCTGTGGCTAAACTAGTGACTATAAGAGGTGTAGCCTTCTTTCAATAAACTGGCAGCCACCCGGATTTGCCCTTAGATCCTGTCAGTCTCCTCCTTCCCCTCATCCACTCCATGCCTCCTCTTAGGGACCTGAACTCTTGGAGCTGAACTCTGGCACTCCCCATGCTGGACAGCACCCAAGCATGAGGGAGGCACACACATGTGACCTTGCTTGTCAAGGGGTAGGGCAGGTATTTATTTCTAGTTCTCTGCAAAATGCCAGTTTAGGAAAAAGCTTTATATTTGTGGGTGACCGAGGTCAGACAGCAATGACCAGATCAATGTGGATCACTTGCAGGTGAAGTTTCCCGAGTTGTTTTAAGTTATACCTTTCACTTGCCACCCCTAGTGGTATGCTCCATAAATCCGATTTTCTTTCCCTACACAGAAAAAAAAAAATGGTCAGATGGTTTAAATCACCAGTAAGATGGCCTGAGGGGTGTGCACAGGTGCATCCCTGTCATGGCTGAGCCCTGTCGCTCTGGTACACCTGCACAGCTTTTATGGGTTGCTCTCAGTTTATTACCAGACTGGCCCAGATGGACCCTCTTTGTGCTCTCTCCAATTCCAGCTCACAAAATTTGTCACAGCCCAGGCCGAGTGGTGACATGTGGGTGTTAACAGTCCCTGAGGAGGTCACTGTACTGTGCTGCACATTCATGGGCACTGCAGGGAGACAGGTAGTATGGGCAGGAAACTGAGATCACAAGCAAGAGTCGAGGAGCCGGGTGGAGCAGGACAGATGCACATACATCAGGACATTTCATATGAGCATGCTTGAGCTTGTACACATGCATGGGCACAGACAGACAGACACACAGAGCTCAGGTCAGAGCTCTTCAGGGTCCCCCTGAAGCCTCCTGAAGCATGTGTTTTTTATTTGTTTATTTTGGAGACAATGTCTCTCTTTGTAGCTCTGGCTGTCCTGGAACTCCCTGTGTAGACCAGGCTGGCCTCCAGAGATCTGCCTGCCTCTGCCTCTCAAGTGCTAGGATTAAAAGCATGGGCCACCATTTCCCTCCTGCATGCAATTTTAGAAATGTCCACAGTTTACAAGCTGTGCTCTCATCAGTATACACACAACTGTTCCAAGCTGACCAGATGTGCCATGGGCTGCATGTGGAGCAAAAACCCGCTGTCCTACAGGGGACACCAATAGTCACAACGTATGCTTCTGCATACAATGTTCTGTCTGCATGTACACCTGCACTCCAGAAGAGGGCACCAGGTCTTATTACAGATGGTTGTGAACCATCATGTGATTGCTGGGAATTGAACTCAGGACCTTGGAAGAGCAGTCAGTGCTCTTAACTGCTGAGCCATATCTCCAGCCCCTAATTCCCTGGATTTAAAATGAAACAAAAGCCTGCTGGATGTGATGGCAGGCACATTAATCCCAGAACTCAGGCCCTGAAATAGGGCTGACCTGCCCAGTGGGATGGTGTGTTTCAGACACATTCCCAGGAACAGCCTTCATTTCTTTGGCCCATGCTTTTTTAGACAATAAGATTTCTGTGTTCACGACTCAGGGAAGGCTGTGGCCACTGAAAACAAACAAGAAATAAGCCATGTCTTTGGGATGGGAAGCATAGGATCCACTAGAGCCAGAAAAATTTCAGGCAGGGCAGAGGCTGGCATAAGTCATGGGACCCCCTGTTACTGGGGTTGGGAACTCTCTCTCTGAAACTCTCTGGATGTAAAATAGAACAGAACAGACCCAAGATTGCAGTGGGTCTCAGAGAAAGGGGTTCTGCCTGGTGTCACCTGCAGATTACAGAGTACCCTGTGTGGCTTAGGAAAACACATTCTCTCTGAGGCCATTGCAGACACCCAAGCCTTAGAAGCTGCCATGGACAGGCACCGTGTGGAATGTACTCCTGCATTGGCCTGGCTGGGGCCTGGAGGAGACAGCAAAAGCCAGATGGGTCTGTGGGCTCCAAGTACAGAGTATAGATGTATGCCTCAACTCCAGGAGGGGCCTTCTGGAGCAGCTGGGGGTACAGTGACCAAGGACAACACCAGGACTTGGCTGCAGTCACACTGCCACCTCCACACTTACATGCCAAGACTCAGCATGTGGGATCTGCCAAAGCTTGGTTGGGGCTAAAGAGAAACCCCAAATAAACTGAAGTATGTGCCCCTGGCGCCATGAGGACTCAGAGCAGAACACTCAGCAGAGCTAGCAAGCGTGACAAAAGAAGCGAACGGCCTCTTAACTCACTTCTATTTTTACTTCAGGGTTTGACATGATTTGCTGGATGAATGCAAGGCAAATGACAAATACCTGGCATTCCTTTGCAGCCTGCATTTCTTCCTGCTGATAGGTGCCAGAAGTGTCCCTGACAAGAATGCTGATGGATGGCTAATTACAGGGGAAGAGCCAGCTCCTAGGAAGATCACATGTCAGGAAGAGCCCATTGTATGAAAGGTAAGGGCATAACCCCACATAGGAATGAAGACATTATTATTAATCATCATTAATATTGTGTGTGCATGCTTTGTGTGTGTGTGTTCAGGCGTGTACACGCACTGATGTACACACAAGCATCCATGGTGCACAGAGAACCACTTCAGTGAGTTGAATCTGTTCTTTCATCTTCTTGGGGTCATCTTTAGGTTACCAGGCTTGAAAAGAAAACCCTCCCTTTAAAACAATGGAGTTCCCCAACTTGGAACCTCCTGTCAAGAAAGACAAAATTGAAGTTTGGTGTAGCCAGAGGAGGCGCTCCTCTCCCAGGAAGAAATTTCTCACTGTATGGACAACTGTCAGACCCCCTTGCAGAACAGAGGTGAGGAGACAATGATGGATGAGCCCACATCCGACCAGGACTGCTCAGCTACACATACCTCTGGCCTGTATTTTAACTTTATCTCATGTTAGGATCCTGAAGATGGACTCGAGGGGTCACTGAACGTCTCTGATCCTGGTGTGGCCACACTGAATACATTTTCTTTCTCTGTCTTTCCATGTCACTATCTGTCTAATTGGCTTACTGAGGACTAGTGGCTGAGCCTGGCTGATTTCAGCTCTGACTGTGTCAGCTGCAGGAACAGGCCAGCTTGGGTCCTTGGTGAGGCTCACTCTCCATCATGTAGTCTACATTGGAGATGTGAATTTCTTCCCCGCTCCTGTGTTTGGATAGTATCTCCCAGTTGTCTGTCCTCTCTATGGCCAGAAGTTCAGCAGCTGCTGCTGTTGGTCACTGACTCTGTCTTGGGGCCAGAGTCCCTGTTGCCTTCTAGGCCACTGTTTGGATCTCAGCTCTGCCACTTCCTGGCTGGGTGACCTTCTCACATTGCCTCAGCTGTTGGATCCACAGTGACATCTTCTCCCTGTCTCCTGGCCTGGGTGCCTGTCAGTGATCCCCATATTGCCAAGGTCAGCTGGCCCTACTTGCATTCCTACTATCATGACACTGATCAGAGCCCAGGTGAGGGCCCTTCCCTCCCTGTCCCTGAACCCAACCTAGTGTGTATCTTCCATTGAGGGGTGACTGCAGAAAGGGGCTTGCACAACATCTCTGTCTGCCTGCAATCCCAGAACACGCCTTCCCATTCATTCCTGGGATGCTTGAGGGTGTTTCCCTTGGTGGGAGGGAAAAATAAAAACACTAGGCAGAGACAATAAATGAGGGATTTCAGGGTATTTTATTGAATTGGGGTGTGTCAGTGGGAACTTGAGCATCAGGAGATGCCCAGATGCCACAGCCTCCTTCCCACTCTTCTGCTCCTGCTAAGCAACATCCTACCTCAGTCAAAGGTCAGGGATCAAATGTTGCAGTGGGAAGAGGGATTTCCCAGAAACTGGGAGGAAGTGGGTTGGGGTTGGGACTTAGGTGACAGGAGAACTGAGCATGACCCAAAAAAGAAAAAAACAAACAAACAAACAAAAAAAAAAAAAAAAACAAAAAACTGAGGAAGCAGAGATCACTTTGCACCTCTGGGTCCCAGGTGGTGCCACCTGGAGCCGTGTCCCCAGGAGTGTGGGTTAGATGGTTGAATGCTATGCTATGTTCCCCTCTTCTGTTCTCTGCTAACCTAGGGCACTGCACACTCTACTTGCTACAGACACTGGGTCCCAGCTTGGTGGGCCGGGCAGGGGGAGTGGCTCAGCCCTGGAAGCCCAACTCCTTGTACTTGGCAGCAATGTCATTCCGGAACAGCTCCAGGGCCTTGCTCATGGCGCCTTGAGCATCTGCTCCAAAGTCTCCAGAATGTCTGTTCTTCAGGACCTCGATGATGCTTTCTGAGATAAACTGCAAGAAGGGGACAAGAGGTTGTAATTCATGGGACTGAGCAAGCTGTGAGCCAAGAGTGTCCACCAACTTTATTCCAGGACCATTTCCTGGGCCCTTACAATGCCCAGATGACATTCCATGCAATCATTGTGAATCAACTCCTTTAAATGCCACTACCACCAGGAGGCAGTCACTATCACTATCTCTGCTTCATTGATGGGGAAACGGAGGCAGAGAGAGGCGTGTCAAAGACTTTAGCTGTGTGCTGAAGTCACAGAGCCAAGAACCCAGGGGGTGTTTCTTTTGAGTGCAGGATGCATCACCAACAGCCAGCCCACAAGAGCTCATCAGTAGCAGACAAGATGCCTTGCTCAGGATGCTAGCCCACCCCAGGAACTGTGATCAACCAGGACACACAGGAGGACACTTTCCCATCATGTTCATTTCATCTTTGAATTTGGGACTAAGGATGACTATTGACTTATGATCACACCAAGCAGGTGGTCACAGGTACAGACAAGGGAAGGGACAGGTGATATCAGGCACCCCATTGCCCAGACGGACATGGGCATCTGTGTGGGACCACCCAGAATCCAAAGGCTTAGACGAAACTGTTACAGTGCTTATCATCAGTCCCATACAGCCTTGGCTGCTGTATTAAGTGGTGGCACTTTACCAAGGAGACTACCAAGTTACCTGGTTGAGGTCAGGTAGCAGGTGAATAATGAGCTAAGGTTGGTCCCAGGGACTGTGGACAAGCCCCTGCTAGCTCAGGGGCACAGATGCTGCTCTGATCTTTTCACTGGGCCCTCATGTACAAGTAACACAGCAGACACGAGAGTGGGACACAGCAGAAGGAGGCACCATGGGGCACAGGTGACACATCCAGAAGACACAGGGCTTGCCTCACAATTCACAGACAGCAAAGATGGTGAGGCCTGGGTCTGTGGAACCAAGCCTGACCTCGGGGAGTAACCTTGCCCTGCTCTATGACTCCAGCTACAAAATGGGAATTGAGAGGACCCCCTGGGGGCTCCTGGCCTGGCTTCTCTCCAAGCCACACAGTACAGCTGGTGTCCAGACCATCATGGAGTGGGTTACCATGGGAGCCCTTGGCTCCCATGGCTCTCTGACAGAACCCTGAGTGGGAATCCTGCCTCTGTGACTTGCATGAATGGTCTATGCCTCCATTTTCCCATCTATCCAGTGGGTACAATAAGGGCTGAAGGCAAGTTGTGTATCAGTCATTTTTCACACTGAGGTGCTCCACCCAGCACTGGGAGCCAGACACCAAATCAAATGCTAACTGTGTGGGGCCTCAGTATCCTTGAGGGGAACAGGGCTGGGGCTGGTTGCTGAGGAGAAACTGGGCTTGAGTGGGGAGGAACCAGGCCACTCACATAGAGTGGCTGAGCTGGGATTTAACGGTGGCCACCTACCTCCAGGTACTTGACTGGGATCTTATGCTTGGTGGCATGTGACTGGGCCAGAGGCTGGATCTCCGCAGCATGCTGTCCCTTCTTCTTCAGGATGCTCCCCAGGGCTGTGAGCACAGTACAGCCATGCTTCTTTAGGTCCTCTGAGGCCTTCATTTCATCTTCTGACTTCAGGGTCTTGAACTTGTCAAACTTGTCCAGGGTCTCAGGGTGGTTCTTAAACAGCCTAGGGAATAAGGACGGATGGACTGAGGTGTGTACAGTCTGAAGGCCACCAGACTCCAGCTATATTTCTTCCCACCTGTGTGGCCTGGGCCAATTCACCACACCTCTCTATGCTTCAGTATTCCCTATGAAAGCTGATCTAATGGATTAAATGAGATAACCCGTCTGATGTCTGGCATAGTCCATGTGGGATAAATGGCTGTTGTTCTTTTGTGATCATTGATACCATCACCCTCTTCATCACTTGGTCACTGAGAGGAGCAAGGGCAGTGACATCTCTGTGCCCTCACCCCATGACATCCAGAGAGTGGGGTGTGCTGGGGCTAAGCACCTGTGTGTCAGCTCTATGCTGGACTTACACTTGCCTGCGTGTTATCCTGTTTTGTAGACAGGGTCAGGACTCTGAAATGGAATGCCCCCAGCACAATCTTAGGGCCAGTGTGCAGAGAAGCTAGGCAGCCATTGGCTCTAGATGACTCAGAAGGCTTCTACCTGAAATTTTAGACCTCCTGGTTAGTTGGGGCTGCCTCAAGACCCCTCTACACCAGCATAGAGTGATGGCTAGGAGACCCACCAAAGGCCACAGCTGTTCCTACCTGTGACCATGGGAGCTCTGGCTTCACATTTCCTGAATCCCCATAGTACACTTGAAGCAGATTCTGCCATTGTGTCAGGTCACAGAGGAAGAAATGGGGGAGTCTAGGGCACAGCTAGCAGAGGGAGTGTGGGGCTCTGCCTCTCAGTGCATGACCCCTTTAGTTACAGACAGCACAGGACAATAAGGGCACAACATTCCTCAGTGGGGATAGTCCCTTATCACTAGTGGATGGATGCCTGACATAGCTGCTAAGGTCAGCTGGTCTGTGCCCCTCTTCCACATCCACAGTCATTTGTCACAGACAGGCCTTTCCACCACTCAAGTACTTCAGTATGTGTCAGTCATCAGCTCTGTTGACTACAGGGTCCCCTGATGTGCCCGTTCCAGCTGTATGGACTCAGAAATGCTCATGAATTACTTCTCTCTCTCTCTCTCTTTTAACATGAATTACTTCCTGCCATCACTGTAGCACACTTCTGAGAGAGCTTGTGTTAGCAGACTCCATGTGATAGCTGTAGAAACAGGCACAGGGAAGCCTGAGTGTCCTGCAGGGGTTCAACTAGACCTCGTGGCTTCCCCTTCACTCTCTGTGAGCCCTATCACAGTCACATTTACAAAAGCATCCCCACTGTAAATGATAGCACACAAACTACCCCCTCCACACACACGCACACACACACACACACACACACACACACACACACACGTCTGTTCTTCATATGTGTGAAGATCCACACACACAAGCTGGTACCACAAAGATTGGGTAGATCTGTCCCCAGCCTTGGTTATGTCATAGCATCATTCTGGGAGCCCATCCAGAGTTGTGTGCGTCACTGACAGCTTATCTCTGGCATCTTGTCCAGGGTCCCTGAGCTCCTGACTATTATTATCTAGCGACAATGATCCTTGAGTTCCTGCTGACAGATGGAAGGCCTGACACCCACTGGTGAGCCCAAGGTCACCAGGCTGGATGGGGCCAGAAGGGCAAGAATGGGGACTTGAGGCTTTAGGCTTTTGGAGACACTACATTCTAGGTCTGGTTCAGTCTCCAGTATCCTATGTGATGCTTAAATAGCCACTCAGCCTTTCTGGGTCTTAGCTCATTGAATGTAAACCAAAATGGTTGTTTAGGTGATTTCTAGAAGGCTTGCTCCAACCTTGCCCTCCTTGCCAACCTTGTACTAGTCAGAGTAGGACTAGGCTTGCTCTCATCACAGGAGTAGAGGTACAGGCCCTATATAGATACTTGGCCCCCTGAACCCCAAGTCCTCAGCCCCTGTGGTAGCTCAGAGCCCATGTCTTTGGGTCCCTTTTTTCATCCTGTTGCCAGGTGACCAGGCTCAGCAGACAGGCAGTCAGGCTAGTCAGGGAAGTGAGGCTGCCTCTCTGCTGGCCTCTAAACAGCTGCCCAATCAGAGCCCAGCCTAGGAGCACTTGGGTGTGGTAGACAGAAAGGCTACCAAGAGCATCTGCTACAGCCAAGTATCCTGTATTCTTAGTAGCTTTGCAATTTGGGACAAGTTGCTAAACCTCCTAGTTAGATGTAATACAGGAGTTCATAAAGGTGTTCATAACACAGGGGCTTGCTGTGTGAGACTTCCTCCTTCTCATCTCCCCTTCACCAACACTATCATGACTAGGAGTCTTTCTTAGGCGTGGCCTGTCACTGACATGGGTTTGTTGAGACTGTGAGTCTGTTCTCTCGTTATGTGAGAAGTTGCTATCCCCATCAGTCATTTCCTTTCTTGGCTCCTAAATCCCTTCCCCAACAAAAATGTCATCATAGGGATTTGGGAGACAGCCCAGCAGTTAAGAGCACTTGCTGCTCTCCCAGGGAAACCCGGTTCAAATCCCAACACCCATGTGGTGGCTCACAACCATATGCAACTCCAGTTCCAGGGGATCCAGCGCCCTCGTCTGGCCACAGTGGGCACTCCATGCGTATCATGCATATCCATATATGCAAGCAAAATACTAAGAAAATAAGTAAATATTTTTAAAATGCAGGTTTAAATGAACCTGAAAAGATCTGGGAAGAAGAGGTGAGGCTCAGAGGGAACCAGCCCCTTCCACTTCAGCCCTCAGCTTTGATAGCTGCTAGATTTCCTTGTTCTAGAACTCTGTGCTTACCAGCCTAAGCCTTGGAGTTCTGCTAAGGTAACTTGGAGAAATGACCTTGCTGAGGTCAGCAGACAAGGCTGGGATTGGTGTCTGGGACAGGCCAGGAGCCCAGTGTTTGACACTTGCTACCCTGAGAGTTGGCATGACTCCCTGGGAGGCCACCTCCCTGCACCCCCAACAGGAGAAGGCAGGAACAGTTGGTATGGCCCCATGACCCAAGTCTGAGTCATGCTGGGGTGTTATGACCTTTGGGGCCTTTCAGGGTCAGCTGCCTAGGCATTATGTCCCACCTGGCCTGGGTTCTGGCAAGCCTCAATTGCTCCCCTGGGAAGGGAAGAATGTCTCCCTGATGACACAATACCTTGAGTCTCCTTCAAAGCCCCAAGTCACTGTCCAGGGTCTGGCAGTCTTGGAATTTTGCAAGATACTGTTCTGCCAACCCTGCCCCCCCCCCCAGTACCCTGCTGTCCACAACAACAAAGGGCAGAGACTAGGCAGGGTTCTCAAAGACTGTGGTAGACAGTCCAAGGCAGAAATAGGGCCTAGCGAGGGGAAACAACTCATCCAAGGTCACACAGGAAATCTGTGGCCTAATAATTGATACCAACTTGGGGTAGGGGGTTAGTTAGTTCAGTCAGACAGGCCTATCTGTAGGCCCAGCATCTGAGGAGGAGTTAGGGAAGAAAGATAGGTAGGAAGAGAACCAGCAGCTGCCCAGCTTCTTCCTGAAAGGGGCTCTGACCTCAGATGACCTTATTCCCAAGCAGGGGGGCTAGAAATGGACAAAGTCCAAGGGAGTATGCAAGACAATTGCAATCAGGAGGGAGACTTACCCTGGATCATAAGTAGCAAGGAAATTCATTTCCAAACTATAGCTTCAAGGATATTGCAGGGGCTGATAGCAACAAGGCCACTTCCTCCCAGAGCCAAAAAATGATCAGTCATGAATATCCCACCAGGCTCCTGAGCAGCCCCAGAGCCCAGGGAAGAGCCCCAGCATTTGAGTGAGCCATGGGAAGTGAGGTCCTGTTACAAGCCTCAGCACCCTCCACTTGCCCCTGCTCAGATTGTGGATTTTCTGGGCAGATTTAGGGAGATCCTTGCAGCAGAAAGCAAATACACATTCCAAGCTTTCAGTACACACTAGTGGACCCGATCTCTCACAGCCCTCATTATTCTGGCTGCCTGCCATGATAAGCTCCTTCTGGTGGACTGCTTGATGCTAAAGTCTGTTCCAGTTGCTGACATCAGCTGGGATGAATGGATCCCCTTTTCCTTCCCTCAATCCAGTCCCCAGCACTTAGAAGCAAATGAAATCCCATATCATCATTGCAGCCAACTGGTCTACCCTGCCAACTTCCACCTTATAGTCATACACTGGTAATCTTTAGGGGATGGGTGGAGGGTTAGGGGTCTCTTCCTCTTACTTGATGAGGACTTCCTGTCCATGGCCGGCGAGGTCGGCCTCCACTTTCCCCCAGACATTCAGCACCTGTTGCCACTCCCCATCACTGAGCACCATGGTAGCTTCTGAAGAGAACAAAAGGATGAGTCGAAAGGAGTGAGTGTGGGTCAGCTGTCAGCTGTGGTCTGAGGCCACCTGATCCTGAAGGGCTTTTATACCTTCCCGGATGTTAGCCTGGCCAGGATCACTGGGTGCCACATGCTCCTCCTGCCACCCTCCTCAACCCCCCAGGGGTCTAATCTCTGCCTTTCTCTGGCCCTCACATGGACAGCTATTTTGGGGCAAGTGCCATTGTGGGGAGCTAGGACAGCTTGGGGCAATAGGGGGTGGGGAACGGGAACCAGCCAGACCACTGTCTGGACTTGCACAAGCCCACAGAAAGGGCACTGAAGCCACTGCCAGAAGTTGAAACCCAATTCTTCCCCTGTCTGCTGCCCCAACGGGACTTGTCATGTTTCTAAGCTTGGGCACAGGCATGCAGCTGGCCCCCAGAAGTCTCCTCTCACTATCTAACTACTTTTCTTTTGTGTTACATTTGTATGTATGTGTGTGTATGAGCATGCATTTGTTAGTGCATGTGTCTATGTGTGCCTGTGGGCCACAGCATGTTTATAGAGGTCAGAGCAACTTTCAGGAGTCGACTTTAGATCTTTCTCAGATCCTTGGCCTTGATGGCAAGCTCTTGTACTCACCGAGCCATCATGCTGCCCTCTGCTTACTTTTCTGATGCTCCACACCAAGCTAGATGTGGGAAAAAAAAAAAAAAAAAAAAAAAAAAAAAAAAAAGGAGCCACAATGGGTCTGCACTTTCTGCTGGATCACAGGTGAGTCTCTGAGTTAAAGAGCTCTGGGCCTGCTCCTTGTGAAAGGTTGTACTACCATGCTGCATGAAGCCCTCAGCTCCCTCCCCTTGACTTGTGATCTCCTGTCACTCAACTGCCCTTGCTGCCTCACATGGCACTTCCAGCAAGGTGGTGGCTGCCAGCACTCCCAGATTCTGCCAGGCCCAGGCCCTCTTCTCTTTGCTTAGCTCTGGTAATCCCACAGGAGCCTTCAGGGTAAACACTGACATGGGCCCCAGGATGAATAACACAGTTGGTGTTTGATCCTAGTGAGTCCGGACCTACAGTCCATGCTCTTGAAAACCTTATTTGGGAACTGCAGAGACGATGGTTCAGTGGTTAAAGGCACTTACCTCCAAGTCTGTCCTGAGTTCCATCCTCAATGCCCACATGGTGGAAGAAGATTAAATCACACCCCTGCAAGCTGTCCTCTGAGTTCTGTATGTGTGTGCACAATCAACAAATATAAAAATAAATTTTACAATATTATTTGGGATTATGTAGGGGGTTAGAGGGTCTGCTTTATTTATCTGTGTATCTTTTGAACCCTACACTGGGCCCTGTATTAAATTTGAGCTGAAGAAATACTGTTGAATAAAAGATAAATGGCTTTCTTTATAAGGAAGATAGAGACTGAGCAGGGTTTCCATCTATATGTTCAGCCAGCCATCCTTCAACCTGCCCATTAGTGAGCAGCCAGCTATTATCCATCCATCCATCAATTTATCCATTTATCCCCATACATCATTCATTCACCAAACAATTATTACTCATCCACCAATCCATTTATCATCCATCTATCCATCTTCATCCATTGTCTATCCAGCTACCCATAATTAATCCATTATTTATTATCATCCATCTACTACCCATCCTTCATCCATGTTCTACCCATCAATTATACATTATCATCTATCTATCTATCTATCTATCTATCCATCCATCCATCCATCCATCCATGATCCCTCATCTCTTCATGGCCCCTCCCTTCTTCTACCCATCCATCACTTACCGTCACAGAGTACACATGATGTGACAGCCACTCTGTCACAGCTGACAAAACAAAATTAAGCGCTTCTTGTGCCAAGAAATTCACAGCACTTCCGAGGAGAGTGCTCAGGGATGTGATGGAGTTCCCATGGACAGTTTTGTTTGTCTAGGGCTGTGGGAGTCTGAATGTAATTGGCCCCTACAAGCTTAACAGGGAATGGCACTATTAGGAGGAGTGGCCTTGTTGGAGGAAGTGTGTCACTGTGGGGGCGGGCTCTGAGGTCCCTTTCCTCAAGCTTCACTCAGTGTGACAGTCTATTTCTTGTTGCCTTCTGATCAAGATCCTCTGAAACTGTAAGCTGCCACCTCAATTAAATGTTTTCCTTTATAAGAGTCGCCGTGGTCATGGTGCCTCATCACAGCAATAGAAACCCTAATGGAGACAAAGGTGTTCCAGTTTTTGTCTTGTTTTGTTTGAAGAGGATCTCACTATGCAGCCCTGACTGGCTTGGGACTTGTTATGTATCCTAGGATGGTCTCAAACTCACAGCAATTTGCCTGCATGTCTCCCAAATGCTTGAACTAGAGGCATGTGACCACACCTAGTGGCTTTTCGGGGTTTAAAGTCTCTCCCTGGCAGTTACCATTCAATTACCAAGTGAGAAAGGGGACACTGTCCCTTTTATAGCCTGGCTCAGAAAGAACAGGCCACATATGTCTGACTATGTTGGGTCTACTCTGGGTATGTCAGCAGTGACTGCCCAACCTTCATGGAACATCAGAGCAGGGGTTCTCAAGCTGTGATATAGGGGTCAAGTGATATCAGATGTCCTGCATAACAGATATTTACATGATGATTCATAACAGTAGTAAAGTTACAGTTATGAAGTAGCAACTAAAATTACTTTATCACTAAAATCACTACAACATAAGGAACTGAATTGAAGGGTTGCAGCATTTGGAATGGTGAGAACCACTGCTCTAGAGAACCACTGCTCTAGTGGGCTCTGCTGAGGTGGCAGAGAGGAGCCACATTCTGGGACCACAGGATTGATCCCCTCAAACCAGTCACCGTTGATGGGGCCAGCAACGGTACCTGACTCAGGGCCGTCAGCCACAGGACTCTACTGAAATGAACAGCTAGGGCTGTTAGCTCTGCCAGTCAGATCTCTCTTCAGGGTGAACAGGGCTGTAGCTAGAGTCAGATAGGCAGTGGGAAAACACAACAGAAGTGTGAAGCTCATGCCCAGCTCTGGGGAAGAATGCCAGAGCAAAGGGCTCTTTGCCACCCTGGTTCCCACACTGTCCCTCCTGCTCTGGGGGGAGATCAAGCCTCATGAGCCCTCACTTCCAGCATGACTGTGCAAGAGTCCTGCTCCAGAGGGGTTCTGAGCTGCAGGAAGGAGGTTCGAAGTCGACAGAAAAGCAGAGTGTGGCCACTGGTTGTTTTTCAGACAGATGGCCCTGAATAGCTCCAGCCATAGTTACTTATGCAAATTCTAATGCATTCAAGCACAAGCAGTTTCAATTCGTTGCTCTTTAATCATTTTCTGAGACTCATTAACATTTACCCATTTTAGTTTTTTTTCTTTTTCCCACTCCCTTGATGTCATTAACTGACCTTTACCCTGTATCTAAGCATTAATTTTATATTACAAGCCAGATGATTATAACTAGCCAGGCACATTTTATTCATACTGTGCCCAGGCTGGCCACAAACATGTGGTTTCAAAAATGAAATATATTCAAGCCCTATGATCAGTCCTTAACAAAATGATGCTTTTCTATTTTTGTAGTCAGCTGAGAGTATGGTACCATACCTAGAATATTTTTTCAGGTATAAGTCAGTTTCTAAATAAATGGTCTGCATATTATTTTCACATGAGCAGCAGCTGCAATCCTATTCTTTATTCTCTGAATAGTAACAATTAATACCTGACTATTTACTGCTGGGACCAAGTTTCTATTCTTCCTGCAAGTTTCAACTTCTACTTTTACTTCCAAGGGAACTAAGAGTTCTAGATTCCTTTGCTGATATTTTGGTACTGGAAAAAAATGTCTAACCATTCATGCCCTGGCACCAGAGAAACATGTGACATTTTAGGTCCTATATATTTTCCTTACATGTCCCTGTAAATTTTTTATGATATCTTTTAAGAAACTGTCTCCTGACTGGTGGTGGTGGCACATGCCTTTAATCACAGCACTCTGGAGGCAGAGGCAGGTAGATTTCTGAGTCTGAAGCCAGCCTGGTCTACAGAGTTTCAGGACAGCCAGGACTACACAGAGAAACCCTGTCTCAAAAAAAAAAAAAAAAAGAAAGAAAGGAAGGAAGGAAGGAAGGAAGGAAGGAAGGAAGGAAACTGTGTTCCAAGTTCTTGGAATATAGTTATCTTCTTTTTGGAACAGTTAAGAAAGCAAAAAATCATTAGCCTTAGTGAGTTCTTACTCAAGGTGACTACAAAGACCACCATGGGTGAGAGACCAGAGTGATAGATTGCAAAGAGGCTTAATTTCCTTGTAGGAACTTTAGAAAAATCAGCAGCTTTTGTTCCCAGTAAACTCAGCCACAATCACAACTGACAAAACAAAACTAAGAATTATTATAGGAAAAAGTACAGCAAAAGTTCGAGCTCAGTACCATTGCCTCCACAGGTCCCGCTGGTGGGCAAATTCTCCAAAGGGCTTTGCTGGAAGGAGCTCCATTCACAAAACATTGGTGCACTGTTCCCAGAGGTTACAGTGAGGCTCCCACCAGTGTCTTTCCAGAATATCAAGCACTTGGGAGGGAGTGAGAGGCAAGAATCATTCCTGTTCATGCCTGGTGCCTGCCTAGGCTGCTGGCCACCAGGGCCCAAGCTAACACAGCAGGGAAGACATGGGCTCCAGAGTGAGAGTCCATGTATCATTTATTTGTTCCTCTGTTCACTCATTCATTCTATAGCTGGGGACACAGGGCCTACTAGGTGCTGGCTTTAGAGGCACTGACCCTCCGCACCTTCCACCCCTCCAAATCTCTGGTCACTGAGGGGTCAGAAGAAAAAGGCAGAGGGAAAGACACCCACTGTCCCAGGCTGGCCAGTGCACTGGCTCACCTCTTTGACATATCTGCTAGAACCTGCAGCTCTGGGTCCTACCTTCCATCTGTGAGACACTGTTAGGATTGTACACTTTGTTGTATGTCCCTTCAGAACAACCAGAAGGATTGGCCTACTAAAGCTTTACCATAAACTCTCTGAAAAGCATGGCTGTCTCAGTTAGGGCTTCTATCACGGCAATAAAACAAATACTATGACCAAAAAGCAAGTTGTGGAGGAACAGATTAGCTTTACACTTCAACATTGCTATATAATCATTGGAGGAAGTCAGGACAGGAACTCAAACAGGGCAGGATTCCAGAGGCAGGAACTGATGCAGAGGCCATGAAGGGGCCTGACTTGCTCAACCCATTATCTTATAGAACCCAGGACCA